ACGTTCACGATGGTATAATTCTTTCAGGTTATTTTGCTTAGCTCAAATTTTCAACGCTGCTACAGACTGACCATCAACCGGGGCTAATTTAACAGACAAAACGTATTACCTTCATGTGTTATCCTCCAACCAAGTGAGGTAACAAACTGCAGTGTGGTTCGGTGACTCACCTTGATAATCCTGAGCGGACGGATGGATAACCGAAGAAACATCAACGCTATAATCCCAGCCACGAACGTCTAAGATTATATGTGACACCATTCGGAGCAAATGATAGGCCACTTCTTCTGCAAAACCTTGCATCAATAATCCAGGTTCATTGTAAAAGAGAATGACTATGCTCCGCCATTTATAGTGCTGAGTAACACTCAGCAGTACTTTCGCCATCTGATCCGCAGAATACGCAACGGAGAAAGTGACGAACGTGTTGAAGTCAAATTTGTCGTAGTCTATAACCGGGCAAAAAGTACTGCCTGAAGGAGAGTATGGTGCTGGAAATGGAGTGCGTCGGTTCATAGGACACTGATATCCTACGTGGTACACTAAGGAGAACCGATCCATCTTACAACTCGGCTGATACTCCAGAATCATGGATTCCACCTCGCCACATTGACTGCTCAACATGGGTCCAATAACGACCACGGTGGAATTTCCACGACTGAACTCAGTCCTGGCGGTTGTTTGAGCCGAAGCAAAGGTTTTACCAAAAACTAATCGCTCATCTAACGAAACAAAACATCCGGGAATTTGCACAATATCTGTTGTCACAGACAATGTCTTTATATCGTTATTTAGCTGGATTGAAGTTTGAATACTATCCAGAAAATCGATGTTGTTATTCGGGGTCAGGCAAGTAACGTTTGGGGTCAAAATATATAACTTCAAATTGTACAATTGTGGGTGAACATATCCAAAGTATATAATCCACAAGCAAAGTTTCATGTATCTGAACATCGTTCTGGCAAGGTTCCTCTCTTTCCAAATTTACACGTGAGATTTTACCAACAAAGTGCGTGGATGAGTTATATGCTTGTTGGAACAGATTTTGTAAGCTTGCCCGAACGAATACTGTCCCATATAAAGCGACACTAAATTCATCAAAAACCTTCGACTGAAACACTTTGAGCCACGCCCAGTTTGAAAGCTCATTGGATGCAGTTCAAATTGGGTGATTATTTCATTTTTGCATGCTTGGTTTAGCCAATTCCCTCCTGATAAATGTAAGTCTAAGGCAAAAGGTCCTAAATTTACTAACCGTTTCACGACGCCCGAAGTATCGGGCAACCGATCTGGTTGAGGGCGTAAACCTGACTGACAAGTACAATATACGCATAAATCGATCATTACAATTAATTTTAATAATCCACTTGGTAAAAAATGTGAGGCAGCCATACTGGTTGAATCATTCTACCTCATACTAAATTTCCGATTGTTTAGGGAATTTACAAGCTGCAAAATTTCAAAAAGCCACTTAGCTCACTTCAACTTGTTTCATTAGAGCTCAGAAAGGCTATATTTATTCCATATCCCTTTCGGCTCTTCAAAGTGGTGTTTTATACCAAACCTAATCCATCAGTGAATTAAAGAGTGCACTCGTCTCTGGTCACCCATGGGCTCACACAAAGGATTTGTGCATTGCATCTGTCACTTAAACGTTACCCATCATGTGTCACTCCTGCAGTGCTTATTCCGTCATACGAACCAAAAAATTCATTACTGTTCGTTGTCTCGGTAAATTGTTGTCAGCTCATGTTTATGATTGTGTTACTAAATTTCGTTTGTCGCCGATACATCACCCTCCTCATTTCTTCCGTTAGACCATTAAGGGGCAACCAGTGAGCTGCAGCTCACCAAGTACCGAGTTTTTCAGATCGATTGAGTCCTCCTATTAACGTCTACTTTTACGACGATTTGTGCTGCAACATATGGCTTGATGGTCACAAATTTAAGACTCTGTTGTATAGGTGAGCAAAACGACACTCTGGGATGATGGTCGAACTGTAACAAAGGTTAGTGACACAATGACTCGCTAGGTCAATGGTTCAAAGAAATTTTCTGGGTATATTCTGATACTGGTGGAGATTTTGTCCTGTAGATGAAGACAGTCTTTCCTAAAAAGCCACTCAACACATGTGACCGCGTAATGTGGATCCCGTGATTGAAGGACGACTGGCGCTATATCTTCAGTGTGAGTCAGTCACTTCGCTAATCAGCCACTTGTGGTTCAACGGTTAATTTTTCCAAGTACCAACCAGGAGGTCGCGGGTTCGAGACTCTGGATTTTCGTGAGATGTGCACTGATAATGACTCCCACAGAGGATGGAACAGCTGTACAGTGCTCCTCGGCTTTAAAGCATATATTGGCTTTACTTTCAGGACGAAATCTCCACAAAAATTCCTGAATCTCCCCACACTAACATCAATACTCTAGTACGGCCGAGGTGACGCCCCGGCTTGGGAAGAGGTGTCTTAGCGTGATGAGGGCATTTTCAGCTTACAGGCGCAATATTGTTCAGGGCGCTTCGCTAATACTCCCTTCCATTATCAAAAATAGCTATGCGGTGGAGTAAAAGTGGCGGATTTTTCCAATTTTTTAAAATCAAATTATGGCTACTTGAAACGCGTAAAGAAGTTTCATGGGGAAGTGAGTGAATTCAGTTGTTTCATTCATGGTATTATTAAAAGTTACCTTTTTGACTCGCCGACAGCGTATGATTTATTATCAGCCGTTTTTTATAATGCTTTCCACGTGGATGAATATGAAAACCATGACGAAAAGATGGATGTGCTTGGCGAATTCTTCCATGATCTGTAGCTTGTTGACAGTCAGTTTTGAGAGACCAGTGTGCACCACACTTAGCCAAAAACTGGACTACCAATCAACCAATGCAAGCGAATGTGACTTCAGGGGAACACAGTTGGTCCCATATGCGGCAGCTTTGTTTTGGAAGTCAGCGATGCTAAAATAGAATATTTTTCACTCTACGTTAAATTCCTCTTCGTTATCGGTATTATCACATGGTGCATTTAAACCGCACCATGTGGTTTGTTGTAACCAAATAACCCGCAAGTTTTCCATTAGACCTTTATTTCAAAAACCATGGAACATATTGTACGTTGGTAATAACGAAATTGTGTTGGAAAATGACTGCAGCTAATCCTCTCAGTCATCTCCACGGAAGATCATTGGTTGTGTTTTCAGTATCCGGTGAACTTCCAATCACATTTTTAGATCACCTTTTTCCAGGTATTCAAGGGGTAGTTCTTAGGTCTATGGAATAACCGAACCGTAAACCGCTATGAAAGTTGCACTTTTACACGGGGTGTGCCCGTGTAATCGTGTCTCAGGGTTTCGTGATTACATCAGTTTTGCGTTTGTAAATATTTTCAACACCAGTGTTTAATAGCAAATGGAAAATACGTCGTCCGTGGCGCTCAGTAAGGGCAGTCTACTGGAGGTTCGTGAATGGCTGTTTTTCCCTGTATTCTCCAAGATCACTTCATGGTCTGTTGTCGGAATAAAAAAATTGATTTAAATCTCCTCAACAACATGTTAAGGTCTCTCAAAAAGTTTGCCGCTTGTTCAACAATCAGAAGTAGCTGAGTATGCCATGTGGGTATCCCATATGGTAGCAAAACATTCCCACCCAGCTATCAAGTTCCAGAACCTTAACGGTGATAGAGTTCAGCTTAGTGCTCGAAACAACGATTTCACTTGTTTGAATATTCACAGAAGAGTTCAATGTCCGGACGTCAACTTTGCTAAAGTACCAACACTTTCGTTTCCTCTTATTTAAGGCACGGGCAACTTAGTTGAAAACCAACCAGAGTGTTATTGAAAATCACAGCGAAAACGGTCTCATACAAGCATCTACCATAAGCTGCTAAAAGTTTCTTCAACCCGTATGGAAGGGGACGATAAGACACCGCGATACAACGCGTTTGATCTTTACTCTAATCATTTGGCAAGTATGTATGGTTGCTGACCCACTGCTGTGTTGCCTCAGTCAGCTCCGTAGCAGAAAATCTGTGTGATTTTAAGCCCATTTAGAAAGTTTGTAATCTGAGTATTGTCAGACGGCTGAGTGTCAGATAGATGATATGCAAAATCGAACCCCAACTTCGTCACATGCGTTTTTTCTTCAAGAAAGAACAAACCATTCTGCAGGTTTCCTTTCCCTTTTTCTTTTGCTTCCTCTTTCAATGGACACATTACGCTGCACTGTCGCCTGGACTCATTCAAATACCGTTAGTCGTCTCAACAACTCTCTGATCCTAGAACACTGTGACCGTGACTTTTCCGTCAGCGTTTTGATCTTCACTTTCTTTGGTCTTTGGGAACATCAGTACCGTCATTGGACTGACTTCTGTCAGGCATCAGGTTTATATTAGTGCAACCATTTTTCCCAAACAGCAGTTGTCAACATCCCAATGAAAGCGCTGCAAATAAAAAAGCAAGTGGTCCCTCGGTGTCCTTTCTATCCAGCATTCAAACAGTAGACATCCACTTGGCTGGCAAAGGTCACCTTTACGATATCCTCCTGACTGAGACGGAAGGAATCGACCACGGCGGCGAGTAAACGTCCTCGTTAAACTCTTTTTGGAAAGTTAAATCTGCGGTTGTTTATTCACATGTTAGGTTGTTCGGGTTCGTTGTAGAAGTTTCAACATTAGTTCAGGTGGTGTCGTCAGTGTGTGGTGAATGGAACTCCCTGAATGTTGGGCGCATCAGTTTAAAAATATTCATTTTATCCGCAGTGACCCTGTCTTGTCATTTGTGGTTTGGATGAGTGTTCCTATTATCTTGCTGGTTTACCTGTCGTCGGTTTGGCTGTTGCCAGGGTGCATTTTGGAGATGAACTCTCCGTCACTCCGCGATGGTCATCATTTGTTTATCCACAGTACGAGTTCCATTTCTTGGTTGCGTAACCTGACGGCTGCTTCTGATTCGGGGTTCTAATTCCGTTGGCAGTTCTTTGCTCTCAGTTTTGCCCATACAGGATTAATGACAGCATGCCGATTAATTGAACTGCTGATGAAGCGCAGGAGTTCAAGTACACCTTCCGGGACGGCGTATTTCAGCGTGTAAAAATCTTCAAGTCTTCAGGGAAAAATTCTGGCTTTTTTTATGTATTCACAGACGAGTACACGTAGATTAGGTACAGCAGATTGTATCTGGTGATATGCATATTACGTTTCTTCACCCACATTTCTTCCAGTATTACTACTATTATCATTTATTTTTGAGGAGCATGGTCACAAACAAAAAAAATGAATGCAAGCGATGAATGCGAAAGAGTAACAGATGAATATGGGAGAAAAGAGAGAAACGTCTCATTTGAAATCATCCCAAGGACAGTGCCAGTCTGATGAGGTGAATCCCAAAGTATGTAAAGATTTTGGTATGGGAACACGCGTCTAAGGACAAACAATGGTGAATGCTGTTCAAGGCGCAGTGTGCGCTAGCACAGTCAGGCACAAAGTGACCGTCATACTGGGTCTGATGTGAGATTAAATGACAAAAATGTACCTCCAACGCCATGTGCCACGCATAAAGGCGTCATAAGTACGCAGGGCGCTCACAATGGCAAGCAAACACAAGTCACTGACTGCGACCTTAGGAAGTCCCAGTCCAATAACAGCCTTAGCGGATTGAGGAGAGCAGATCCCTCGATAAGAGATGATCATCGGTTGGTGAACCAAAAAGTCGATATCACAACCGATGGCATGTAGGGCTGAGATTATGGCGAGGGAATGTCCATCAGCACCATACTTCTGCTTCTTCTCATTCCACACTATCACTCCACGCCCATCAGAGACTATGCTGACGTCTATTACAGTTGCACGGCGATCTCGAACAGTGACAAGGTCAAGTTTGATGAGCGACGTAGAAGTAGGGGCTCTCAACTCCTCGAAGAGGGTGTACCCCAGTCGAAGGAGACGTTTTGCAAGTTCCCTTGCAACCCGATTATGACGAGCACATCTGGCATCATGCGTGATCCAGCAGGATTGCAAAATATGCACCAAACTCTCCAGTTGGCCACAGTTTCCACGACATAAGATCGTCCGGCCACCATGACCATGCCGAGCGCTTCCAACTCTCGTCCTAAGCAGGTTGCATCGGAGCTGGATACCCCGGATAAATATCCGTGGAA